CCCTCTCATCGGGGCTAAACTCAAAACCCAGTAAATGTGTCAAGTGTTTGTATAGTCTTGCTCGTTCTCCATAACCAACAGACCACACGGTGATAAATAACAATCCTTTATCTAGGGTGAACTCTGTCAAATATCTTGGTGTAACCATAGATAGCAAGCTTCAAACCAGATCCACAACCGCATTGGTAAACTGCGGTGCCTATCATTTCAAATTCGAAAGCTCAGGCAGTTTCGTGCATCCCAGTTATTTCTACCTTTGCTTATCAGTGTTTTCCGCATCTTACTCTACTGTTTCCCAGTTATTTTTCCTGGCTTACTCAAACAGGATTTCAAAGTCTTACGTTGCGGTCTAACTAATATTGGCCACGTCTCTTCTATTCCTGAGAATGAGTGAGCTGTAAAGCTTTCAGGGTATCACAACTTCCTGTGTGAAATTTGTGGAGAGGATTCTCACAGATCCTGACCACCCATTGCACGCAGAACTGACAAGTCGTTCCCATCATTCCACACGCTTCCAATTCCGCCAAATTTCATCCCGAACAAACGCTTACTGAAATTCACCTATACAGTATCTTGCACGTTTACTCACAGACAAAGAGGGCAATAAATGAACTTTGTCTTAACCTCGGATTATGAAATGTCCCCATGTATGTATATCATATCATACCATACATACATACCATATCAATAAGTATTTCTATCCATTGTTTAGGTCGGTCAAGAGATTCTTAATCATGAAAGTTTATGCGAACTGGAACATTAGTCAGGGTTTTGATACCCTCATAACAGGCATTAATTTGGCCATTTTCAGCCTTCATTCACTGCTTAGCTCATCAAACGTCACAAGCAGAATCCTATTCGGTAACATGCATATCACATGATCAAGCAACTGCAGTCTATGAATGTCAAGCATTTGTGCCAGTAGGTGGTGGTTGTGATTACCCAAAACTCGGCATTGATTGTTCTGTTGTCCCACAAAAATCATGCAATGAGGTTTAGACATCGGCATTCGAAAAATGACGCTCTGTTGTTTTCACTCTCCCGTGACAGCTGTCTCTGTTCCATGCAATATCATAACTGGTCACACAACTACAACAGCATTCTCTCGAACCTACACAGAACTTGCGCTGGCAAAAATGACTGAAGTTGGCAAACATCAATAGAGTCTACTCCGTGCGTGGCGATACTTTATCCAAGATTCGATCACCGGGGGAGATGCTGCCGCTCTAAGTGTAAAATTTGTCCACTTTACCTATGACCTTCAGAAAGATACAAAAAGGATCGATGAATTTTCTTCATCGTATAAAATACTTCTATTTCATACTTAAAAACCACCTTGAGAACACTCCAATATAAACAACACAGTTGGCAGTTTTCATTCAATAAACAAAACACTAATAAATTCGATGTGGTTGAATGTGCTTCAATTGATCCGCTAAAGCTCAACATAGTAAACTGAAAAACAATGAAACAATGAAAACAATAGCAGTGACGAATGAGCCAAGTAATTTGGTAAACAAATACTTCGGCAAATTTATTCTGTATCGAATCTGACAATAATGAACACCATTACTAATGTGTATTATGAACTATTATCATTGCTGTTATTATTAGTCATGATAACAATAAATGAGCAGTCAATTCAAGATCTGTTTAGTAGTGATCACAAAGGGGCTCAATAAAGCATCTTACCGGGCTAGATGATGGCTACTGAAATTAGCAGCTGGCATAGTCCACTTGGTCTCGTAGCTCAGCTGATGGAGCAAACGCGGTACGAAGACGTGGACAAGTCGGTGCGTGGATTTAAGTCCCGCTGAGGTCATCATTCTTTTACAATTCAAAACACAACTAAATGTGAGAACAACTCAAATGGAACTTGTCAT